TGACCTGTCCCATTTACATAGACGCCCACGTGACCTGTCCCATTTACATAGGTGCCCACGTGACCTGTCCCATTTATATAGGTGCCCACGTGACCTATCCCATTTACATAGGTGCCCACGCGATCTGTTCCATCTACATAGATGCCCGCGTCATCTGTTCCATTTACATAGACGCCCACGTGACCTGTCCCATTTACATAAGTGCCCGCACGATCTGTTCCATCTACATAGATGCCACGTGACCTGTTCGATTTACATAGATGCCCACGTGATCTGTCCCATTTACATAGATGCCCATGTGACCTGTCCCATTTACATAGATGCCCGCGTGACCTGTCCCATTTACATAGATGCCCATGTGACCTGTCTCATTTACATAGGTGCCCATGTGACCTGTCTCATTTACATAGGTGGCCACGTGACCTATCCCATTTACATAGGTGCCCACGCGATCTGTTCCATCTACATAGATGCCCGCGTCATCTGTTCCATTTACATAGACGCCCACGTGACCTGTCCCATTTACATAGACACCCACGTGACCTGTCCCATTTACATAGACGCCCGCGTGACCTTTCCCATTTACATAGACATGACCTTTCCCATCTACATAGATGCCCATGTGACCTGTGCCATTTATATAGACGCCCACGTGACCTGTCCCATTTACATAGATGCCCGCATGACCTTTCCCGTTTATATAGATGCCCACGTGACCTTTCCCATTTACATAGACACGACCTTTCCCATCTACATAGATGCCCGCGTGACCTGTTCCATTTACATAGACGCCCACGTGACCTGTCCCATTTACGTAGACGCCCACGTGACCTGTCCCATTTACATAGACGCCCGCATGACCTTTCCTATTTACATAGACACCACCTTTCCCATCTACATAGATGCCCACGTGACCTGTCCATTTACGTAGACGCCCACGTGACCTGTCCCATTTACATAGATGCCCACGTGATCTGTCCCATTTACATAGGTGCCCACGCGACATGTTCCAACTACATAGGTGCCCACGCGACCTTTCCCATCTACAGACACGACCTTTCCCATCTACATAGACGCCCACGTGACCTGTCCCATTTACATAGGTACCCACATGACGTGTCCATTTACATAGGTACCCACATGATAAGATAAGATAAGATAACAGCTTTATTACAACCGTGTAGAAAATTTTACATTTCTAATTTGGTGTTTTAGAATGTAATAAAGTTAATAATGAATAACTAAAAAAGTAAGTAGGTGAAAGTTGAGTAAATAAAAAGTTAAATAAGTGTGACTGAGTGTATTCTTTTGTTTGTTCATTTACTGTTACTCAAGTACACATAGAGGGCTATAATAGTATCTTTATCTTTTGATTGTAAGATATGTTTAAATTGTTTTTCTTTATCCAAATTCAGGAAATTTGCATTTACACTGTTGATAGTGTGAAACATTGTGTCTCTTTGTTTTGTGTACAATTTACTGAGGACTTGATGCAGATGTTGGGTTTGAAGGAAGCGGTAGATCGGTTGGCGAAGGCAAATGGGGTTCGTTGGTATGGGCATGTGCTGAGGAGGGAGGATGGGCATGTATTAAGAAGGGCCCTTGATTTAGAGGTGAGCGGTCCAAGGAAAAGGGGAAGGCCAAAGAAGACGTGGAAGATGCAAGTGGAGGAGGAGAGTAGGAAGGTTGGGATGAGATGAGGGATGCTTTAAATCGTGCAA